TTACACAAAGTCAAAGTGATATTGATCAAATAGATATCGAACAAATTATTACTGATGCTTACCATGAAGCTGTTGATATGCTTGATCGTTTAGAAATATTGAATTTACTGAAAGAAAAACGCGCTCTTTGCTTAAACTTATTAAGTGAATATATGTTTAAACAGCTAAATTCGAACTCAAAGATGTATGATTACTCATCTCAACTGAGCAATATAGATGATGAAGAATTCGAATTAGCAGATGATGATGATGATGATGATGATGATGATGATGATGAAAGAGCAGATGATCTCAGCATGGATGATGGTAATAATGATAGCACTTCTTCTAATGATGACCATACTGATGACGACGAACAATATGATACTCGAAATTTAATAAATACGACGAAAGATGACTATGTTGGAATAAAAATCTTCAATGCTATTCAGACCCACATAGAACATTCTTATTTTGAAGTTACAATCAAGGACCATATGAAATATATGCATAAACAAACTGCTTGTTGGTTATTAACCGGCGAAAAAAGTAAAATTTCAAACGATCGACTGCTTCGAGTACAACAGACTAATAAAAAAAGTGATTTTTTTCTTCTTTATGTACCATTTTCTTGAATTTTTCAATAAAATAAAGACCATTTACTGACTTTAAAATTTTGGAATACATGAATGTGTTGAATACGAAAAAGAGAAAGATGGTCCATAGTGGTCGCTGAATAAACACTAATAAATATTTCATATGAAAATACAGATGATACAAACAAATAAAAAATAAAGAAATCAAATTTCTATCATGGATTTCTGAAGATAGGCAAGAATTTCACAAGAGTCCACTTGACTCCGCGTGAGTGGAGTCTGCTGTTTCCCCCTTGCTGTAATGGGGGGGGGGTCGCAAAAATCTCGCTTTTAAACTTACACTCACCATTTTCTTCGAAAATATATATAAGTTCCACAAAATATAGTAGGATGAGCAAATAATCTAACGGGTGACCCAAAATAAATGAGGGTCTCAGTATTTCGTTAGTATCTCGCTCAATTTCCATTTTACAGAGTTGACTTTTTTCTAAAAGATATGCCATTCAATTCTTGACAAAACGCATGTCAAACATTTTTTTGAAGAGAGTTAAGGAAACAACGTTTTAAATAGTACTGAAAACGTATTAAAAGGTCAACTTTCAACGATGAAAAACCGTTTTTACAGGTTTTTCAATTGGCTAGCTGCGATGGAAATAAAATAACATAAGCATTTTGTAGCCCTTGAAAAGCTCTATCGGTGGTTCATAACTTGAAAATTTTGTGCTCATCCTTGCGACATACACCGATTCTTTTCGTTTTTAGATTTTCGAAAACATATGTTTCAATCTACAATTCCGAAGCCCCTGTGAAAAGAGGCATAACTAAGCCAAAGTAGCATCTTTTGGGTTCGGGTTTTCTTTATTTTGATGGAAAATCACTACTGTATCAGATTCACACACGCAAGTTGACATCAAACTCTCTTCTTCAATTCAGCTGGCAAAAATATCAGATTTGAGGCATTTTTAATGGAATTTTGAAAAGTCAAGTTCTTTAATTCCTAAGTGATTTCACCGAACCTTGAACTACGTGGCCAGAAATAGTACACTTCAAAGTACTCAAAAAGATCTTCACTTTTGTTTCATTGTGTAACGTAGCGTAAAAAACGTTCTATCTTTTATCTTTGCAATGGTTGTGAAAGTTGGTTGTTTTGTATGTGTTTAGTATAATTTTAAAAATTTTCTACTTATCTATCTTCAGAGAATGTTTTGGTGCGCGTTTGGTGACGAATTGAATGGCGCATCTTTTAGGGAAAACTTCAACCCTGTACAATAAAAATTGACCGAGATATTAGTGAAATACTGAGACCTTCATTTATTCTGGGTCACCCGTTAGAACTAAATATAATTCATATCAGAAATTAAGTTTTGTCTATACAAGTAAAAGTTTAATTTTATCATCAATAGTTTCGTTATTATTCATAAATCAGCATCAACTATACAGCTGAAGAATTAAATTTGATATTCGTACAGAGTACATGATTGATTATTCGAGTTTTAATGTAGGGATGCTCAGAAAGAAAAAAAGGTGTCATACTGAACCTTGTAGGGTTCTAGATTTGGGTACCAGTTTCAGAACCATTTAAGATTCAAGCAAAATCTGGTTCTAGCTGGAACCTTTTCCTTTTTCTTCCAAAAATGGTTCTAGAGTGGTAAAATGTAGCCCGCCACACTCAATTAGTCTAGTACTCGCCACTAGTGCTATATCTAGTCGTTAATTTCATATTTAATCCCTTATTTCTATCATTAACCCTTAATTCTATTCTTAACCCTTAATTCTAGCCTTAACCCGAATTTCTATGCTGAACCAGTAAATTGTATGTGTTATATTTACCTGGATTTGTTGTGAGCAGAATATAAGCCAGCACTTTTTCATTTATTCGCAGAAAACGGGCATCACCGTTACTTGTTTCTGAGACAATTCTAAACAAACAAAAAAACAAGAATACCTTATATTGTAATTGAAAGATTCAACTTACCATGAAATCAATTATTCACATATACCCAAATAGATAAAAACATTAATTCATTTGATCATATTAAATTTGCATTTCAATTGATTATTGCTACATACCTAAATAAAGAAAATATTGGCTTCATTTTACCAGATTGACATTACCTGTCTATTGATAATTGTGACATGTCAAAAAAGACAAAAGAACAACAGCATTTCATAAGTTACCATTTATTATTGAAGTAATTATCGGGACACACCTACCCAGGCCCATCATTCAACTATTGAATCTCCGGGATTGGAATCGATGATGACGGATTCGGATTCCTGGGTCTCGATAATCTATTTCAAACTTCGATCAGAATTTAGATCGGAATTGAAATAAAAAGTCTAGCTTTGTGGCCGTCGAATTTTTGATAGATCCAATCTCTGGCCAATGGGAGCTCGGGTCGAAAAACTAGTGACGAATTCGAATTCGAATTCCGGGACCTCGATAACCTATTTTAGATCTACACCAAGTAAATCACATTCAGAAAATATCGCGTCGTGGTTCAAGCCAAAACTATCTTTGGAAAAATGGTTCAGGATTAAAAAAAATGGTGCAAGACAGAACCCTTTCAAATATCCGGAACTATTGAGGATCTGAGATGGCTCTAGAAATTAGCTAGAATCCGCGAGGGTTTATTAATAAACGAATAGAACCTTAAAATGTTCAGTATCTTCGCTAGAACCATTTTGTTTAATCCAGATGGTTCAGTATGACAGCTTTTGTTTTCAGATTTTCAGAGTAATACAGACGAAGAAGGAATAGAAGGGTGGGGAGTGTTTTGAGCATCGAAGGAAAGATGAAATGAGTACTAAAAAGAAGAGTGAAATGAGTACAAAATTTATCTATGTGTAATAAGAAAATAAATTATGTCATTTGACAAAACAATATGAAGAACGAAAAAATCATAATAAACAAATAAATATTATGGAAACATGATTATTACAAAAAAAGCTTATGTTCGAACAGAATAGTTCGAACTTTTTTCGACTAGTAATAAGGATGTAAATTGTGTGTCTTTTAATAATTTTTTCGCTGTAAACAACACAAAAATATCATTGATATCATTAATATAATAATAAGGTACAAATGTCGAATGGATTGAGTTTTCATCCACTGGATGACGCAAATGAATTACAATATAATTCAGAGCTAAAACTAAATTTCTACAGATATCTACCAGGGTCTACATGTAGCTACCAGGGTCTACATGCATCTACCAGGGTCTACACGTATTTACCAGGGTCTACAGCTATTTACCAGAGGGTGTGGGTGTGGGTGCCATGAAAGGCTGAAAACAACGTGTACACACATACATAACATCTTAACTGTGGGTGCCACGATAGGCTGAAAATCAATCAGTTACCATGATTGAAAACCGTGCCCTCACAGATACCTACCATGACCGTGATCATTACCGTGACCCTTCGATCTACCCATTTATCTATTTATCTATCTATCTATCTATTTATCTACGTATCTATCTACCTACCTATCTATCTATCTATATGTGGATAGGTGACAGTTTTTTTTGGAAAATCCCAATGATACTATCACTAAGATTTGTCATGCACTCGTCTCCGAATATCGTGAGGATTGGGTGCTAGGCCTGACGAAAACATTCTCATTCACAACCACACCTACACCCTCGTAGACACTGGTAGACCTTCTAGACCCTGGTAGATACATGTAGACCCTGGTAAATATAGTTAGAATAGGCGAAGGTCTGATTGAATTTTGAATTACTTTATAATTCATTTACGTCATGCACTATTTTCATCATACAGTAAAACCTCTCTATAATGAACACTAGCGGGACCCTTCAAAAAGCGTTCATTAAAGGAGGTGTTCATTATATGGAGGTTTTGCATTAACTGAACTCTTGCATGTATACAGTTCATGTTTAGTAATACTGTAACGAATTTTGTTTGATGATAAATGGATAGTTTATATTCGTTACTGCTGCAGCTTTAATTTTATTTATTTGTGATCACAAAGAGAAACTGGAAGAGTAGTGTTACCGCTATCCTCGGTATATACATGATGTTAGTTACAGTACTCAATTCTTCGATGTTCTAGGTCTTTTCCAGCTCTTTCTACATTCCAGTTCTGATGTATAATAAAATGTACTCGCCTTATATACGTGCACACGAGAGAGAGAGAGAGAGAAAAGAAAGAACAGAAAAAATATATGATAGATATTTCCACCTTACATTAATTACGTTCAGAAACGTAGCCACATTGCGCAATGATATATGGATAATATTTAGAAGAAGGTCAGATACATTAATGATAGTAGTAGGTTGTACAGCATCCATTGAGAATAACACATTCTATAACACTGATGAGAAAGTAATAGTCCTGTCTGCACGACAGTCCCAAAGGGTAATTAAAAAGACGGACTCCAAATATATGAACAATAAAGGATGTCCATGCATTATTGGCACAAATACCGATTGCTGTCTACTACGCATCTTGCGTATCAGAATTCACCGCAAATAACTTAAAGCAAAATCAAAGAGTATTTCTTTCATCTATTAGCTATACATAACATTCAATATTTACGAAACAACGTTTAAAAAACAAGTTTCTTTCATTTCTTACACATATCTATTTTATTTCTATGATACTGTTGACTGAATTCATCTTGTAGATTGCGCTTCTTAGTTGAACTTTCATTTTGTTCATAACTTTCAATATACTCGACCTTGCGCTTGATAATGTTAGACATACTGCCGATTGAGATCTTATATTTGTCAGCAAGTGTACAGTACGAAAACTTCTCTTGATTTTCACTAATCAACTGTATCTTTTCAGAGAGGGTTAATGTGTGTTTCGTTGTCATCACACAATCGTAAATAGAAAAGTGCTTTGTTATTTCACATGTAAGTGATCATCTTTACGCGGACTATTCATTTTCATTGTTCCTTTTGTTCTATACATACGACGAATTTTATTTCTGGTCAATAGACCGCCAATTAATTAATGTAATACTGTTTAAGAATACACGTTATGTTTTTTTTAAATTTTCATCTCTTTTTTC